AACGGAACGGTCGGATCGAATCTCGATCAACTCAACAATCCAGGTGGTATATACGTTGATACAAATAATACTTTATACGTGGCGGATACCAGTAACAAGTAAGTCGGAATCTATCATTTAATATATTGATCATTTTCGTGAGCCATGAAAAGTCATTTTTACATAAATAAAACTACCCAAGAATAGGAGTATACTAGTTCATGGTCAGGAGTTTGCACTAACTGATTCTACTGGTTTTTTTTATCGGAACGGAATTGAACTTAGACACTAGATCCATATTCGCGAGGAATAATTGACTCAGTTAAGAAGAACCTAATATACTCCTATTCAGCAGAACGCAACAATATAGTTCCAGTCATTACCACATGTTGGAGATACCCTACTCAATTCTATAAACTCCGTTTTCAACTTATAACGTTATGGATAAACACTGACCACTTGATAAATGATATGTTTTATTTTAGTCGAGTGATGATGTATTTATCTGGTAGTTCACAAGGTACAGTTCTCTTCACAGTTCGATCTGTATATGCACCTTATCGGCTAACATTGGACAAATCAGGAAATATCTATGTCTTGGCAAGCGGTTACATTTATCGATTCATTCGTCGAGCTGGCTTTTTAAAAACGATAGTCTCCAACGTTGCGTTTAACGGTGGAATGGGTGTATATTCGAATATACAACTAGATACGGCCGGTAATATCTACACATACATCACTCAATCGATGTATTATACGGATAGCGGCATTTGGAAATACAGTCTCATATCCGCTGGATGTTAACATATACCAGTTCTTTCGGAAATGTACTGCTCGTAGTGTTAATGACTACTGCGTGACGCGTGTGTGTGTTCCTTCCACTTTAGATTCCACATCCCGGACTTTTACTTTTTCTAATCAAATTGTTTGTACTCCCAGTTTTCCTGCATCTGTAGTTGTCACTCTTGTGTTCTTTATGCTTTTCAGTATTTCATTTAGTTGGAATTATTCATTGTCATCTCAGTGTAATAATTCTAATCTTTCAATAAAATTTCAATGAAATGGGTGTGGGTGTATATATGGTATAAATATGATACTCACACCCTCAAGATTTTTTTATCTTGAATTAATAACATTAATTGAAACATATGATGATAAAATGAATTTAACAATATCTGTCAGATGATTAGAAATAAGAGAATTTGGTATTTATCAAAATTTTATTTTTAATTTTGATCGTTTACTTAAATAACAACTGAAATTCTTAACACATTTAATAATTGATGTTGATTCTTATGAACGAAGGACGCATCAATATAAAAATATTGATGCAACTTGTATTTTTCAACATATTCGAAGTCTGATTACACATCTTTATCTTTTTATTGATAAACAATTTTCATATTGTCTTATTCATCTCATCCTTCATTTTCTCGAAGGTAAAACAAAAGAACTATAGTTGAAATTAATGAATATAATTGTATCCTATCAATCTCTTGAAGAATGTCTCATTGATGTATATGTATTAATTCATTCAACTTTACAAGCAACTGATAATAATGATTTAACTAATGAGAATCGATGGAAGACTTAATTTCTTCTAAAAACGAAATCTTATTAAATTTAATTTTAAATTTCAACTTTTAACTTATTATCTTCAATTAGTATTACTCGAATAATTTCGTTTGTACTTTTGGATTAAACAAAAATTTTTGTTCAAAATATTATTCAATAAATACTCTAAAACCGACTTTAGCGAACAATAAACACGTGATTCAATTCTTCTGAAATGATCTATAGTAGTTAAAAGAACGAAATCCTATTGAAACATGACGGACGAATGTAATCGATCGAAAAGGAAAGAAAAAAAAACGGAGTCTATATATTTGAATTCTTTTCTTGAATATCATTTAGGTATAGACACATGGCTACTATGAAGCGAAATTTAACTTTTAAAGAATCATCTGAAGAAGATCCAAAGAAATTACGAAGTAAAATCATTTGATTAATAATATTTGAAATTGTTTTTTTAACCAAAGGTGAATTAAGTTCTATGGAAAATTTGTCGAATGAAATCTTCTATGAAATATTTGATTATCTTGATGGTTTGGATATTTGTATAGCATTTTCAAATATTAATTATCGTTTTCAACAATTAATTATATGTTCACCGTTTCGATATAAAATAAATCTTGGTTATTCTACAAAAAGAGAAAAATTTTTGAATAATTATAAACAAATTCAACATCAAATTTATTCAATTTCTTTTATAATACCAAAAACATCTATGAATGAATTATTAATATCATTTCAAATTGATTGTTCATTTAATAATCTTCAATCAATTCGTATTGATAATATTAGCAAAGATAAACTTATTTCATTACTCATTCATTTATCTGAATTACCTTGTCTTCATTCATTAAATATCCAAACAACAGATTCAATTGAAGATTTAAATCAGATTTATCAATTAATATTTTCATTGCCAAAATTAAAATCAAATGAACTTTCTTCACATAGAAATGAAGATTCGATATCAATTCTAATGCCAAATAATAACCAAATAAGTCCAATTGAATATTTAAAAATAGGTCATTGGTATACATTTGATGAACTTAATGCATTAATATCCTATACACCAAATCTTCGTCATCTTAAGCTTTCACATATAAGTAAAGATGATTCAGATATAGAAGATATATTACCAATGAATTTCAATAATCTTATTCATTTATCGATATTTACAAATTCTTTAAACTTTGATGAATTTGAACTGTTTATTGAAAAAATGAATTCGAAATTAAAAATTTTACATGTTATTGCTTATTCAAATCAAGATATAACTTATCTTTATGCTGATCGTTGGGAAAAATTAATTTCAGAAAATTTTTCTCAATTAGAAAAATTTTCTTTATGTTTTGATGAATCAAGAATGGGTCGTAATTGTCCGATTTATGATGGAGGATTGAATCAATTCAATTCACCATTTTGGATTCAACGAAACTTAATTTTCGATATAGAGATTTATGAATATAATATTCATTATTATGTCCGTTCATACAAGTACAGATGGTATAATTATATAAATTCTTCTCATGAACATTCTAAATCAACTCAATTGACAATCAAATATGTTTATACTGATGAACCTGTTTTTTTTCTATTAGATCAAATTAAACGTGTTTTAAATTTCACACAAATTTATCATTTAAATATTGAACAACAAATTACTGAAGAAAGATTAATGCAAATAATACATTTATTACCTGATCTTATCACAATAAATTTATATTCTTTATCATTTTATGAAGAATATCCATTTTTAAATCAAGGATATCCTACAACATCTGCATTAGAATATGCAAAAAATATAAAATATGTTTATTTGGACCAGACATCTACTATTGACGATATTTATTTTCTTATGTCATTTTGTCCTCAAATGGAATATCTTAGTGTTGAATGTATTAAAAATATGAATATTCAACTATTTTTAAAAGATATTTTAAAAAAAATTAATCAAAAACATTATGAATATTTACATTTATTATGTATTTTTATAAGAACAGCAGATGATCAACTGATAAAACACTTAAGTCAAATGATTTATGATGAAAAACTTTTATTAGATTATACAATTCATCGACAAAGTTATAATATTTACTTGAAATGGAAATAAGTTTTGTTTTTGTTAATAATCTAGAGAAAATATTTATGAAAAAACTTTTAATGTTGATACGAATAAACTATATTGTCATATACATGAAAAAATATATTTCATCTTCATTTCTTTTGAAATCATGCGGAGTTTACAGAATTAAGGAATTGTTTGAGAGTTAAAGAGTTTTTTATTGGTTGATGCTTCCTTTTAAATTTGGTGAATACACTCCCGATTAATGAATATTTTGAATTATTTATTATTAGTATTAGTTATGTTTTATCTGTAAACCTCTGTATTGAATAGAAGATTATCTTATCTAAAGTGTTAACCAACTTTGATACATATATGTATTCATATAACATTCTTGTCAAAGAAATATTACATAGAATATTGAAGTTGTATTTTATTGTCAAACATATTCTGTTAATGATTTTTATGATCAACTTCAATCATTATCTCTAATTAGTATATGGATCATATTTGAAAAGATTACTCATTCCTTTTATCAATTCTCATCATTTATTAATCTTCAATTCTTAACAATAAAGTCAGTATGTAGAACAAGATTTTCTTAGTATTTCAATCTTCCAAACTTGAAACGATTAATTATTAATTCATGTAAATATATTCCATTTTTGTGAAATACTTTTTTAAATGAATTAATTTGTTTTATATGATTAATCTTTATTGATTTTAAAGAGATCTTCTTGTTTAGTTTGACTTGAAACAGTCTGTTTTTCGCTTGCAATTGCGCCTAAGATGTTTTCCTTACTAGATTTCCTAAGCACCTTTCTCTATTAGTTGATTATGCTTTCATATATTGTTTTTTATTCGATAACAATCATAACTGTCATAGAGATATTAATATGCCACAGGAAAAAAACTAATATTTACATTATGAAACTTATTCAGACATGATGACAAACAGAATGTGTTAATATAAAAATAAATTCAATGATGTGTTGATTTATTGTGACAGAATGATATAACTTTTTACAACGAATACATCATTGTCAGTTGTTAGCAAAAAATGATCAGACTACTATGTTGCTGGTATTAATATGAGAAGATGGGTGTAGGTATCATATTTATATCGTATCTATACTCACTACCTATACCCTCCATAAACGTATACAATTTCTATGAATCATATTTTCTATTCTTCTCTTACTTGTTTTTCTTCTCTATCCTTTTTATCATAGAATTGATTAATATGTCTGCTCACATTGACATTTTTCTCGTATTCTCAGATAATACATTGATTTATTACAACTGAGGTAATAATAAGCTACATCTCGATCGATTATATATTTTATCAATTCTTCTTAATATAATATTGAAAAAAAATCTTTTGATCATGGCATGCACAGCATTTAATGATGATGAAATTACAGAATATTTCGACGCACCAGGTCAGACTTTTTGTCTTTTTTTCATGTGCATTTCATATCTTTGTGTATATAGATGAATTGGATCAAAAAATCAAAACTTTAGCACAATTTATTCGTGTTGCAAAACATTTTGTTGTTTATACTGGAGCAGGTAATTCATATTTTTCTCTTCTTCAAAACATGATCTCTATGTCACAACAGGTATTTCAACATCTGCTGGTATCAATGATTTTCGTGGTCCTTCAGGTGTTTGGACTGCTCGAGCGAGAGGTATTGTTCTACCATCACGAACGGTTCCTAATCCTGAACCAACATTAACTCATATGGCTTGTGCAGAGTTGATGAGAAAGAATTATTTGAAATTTTTAATTTCTCAAAATTGTGATGGTCTTCATTTAAAAAGTAGCATATCACCGAATAAAATTGCTGAATTACATGGCAATTCTAATTGTGAAGCTTGTGCAAAATGTGGAAAAATCTATTATAGAGAGTCTCATATCAGACAATGTGAAAATAAAACTTGGCTTACAGGAAATATATGTACAATTTCAAATTGTAACGGTCGTTTACGTTGTACAACGGTTTCATTTAGTCAATCGATGCCTGATATTTGTTTGGATAAAGCCACGAAAGAATCGCAACTATGTGATTTAAGTTTATGTATGGGAACATCTATGCGAGTTTCACCTGCACGTGACCTCCCATCGATGAATTTAGAATCGGGACAAAAAATGGTTATTATTAGTAAGTCTCTTATCAAATTCCTTGATATTCATTATATTATTCAACTGATTGATGTAGATTTACAAAAGACACCATATGATGATCTTTGTGAATTGAGAATCTTTGCACAATGTGATGATGTCATGAGTATGTTAATGAAAGAATTAGATTTAACTATTTCACCCTATATTGATTTGAAATTATGGTTAAATGAACAATGGTTAGCTGATTTTGAACAGAATTGGGCTTTCCGGTAACTATAAATAGTAAATGAATACAGGAATATTTTTGCTATCTTTGTTGTAGAACTGCTGGTAATACAGGTTGGTTTTCTGGCGATATTTAAATCGAGTTCTGTTATATCTGTTGTCGAAGTGAAAGTATTCTGCTTAATTTCAACTGCTTCTCTGCTTTATATAGATTTAAAAAATAAAAATAAAATATTGATGGAGGGTAATGTCAAGAGAAGAAAAGATACAGTTAATGAAGTATCTGAATGATTGAAATAAGATGATTCTCAATCTTGGTATTGTTGATGGTTATCGTAGTATGGGTGTGGGTGTAAATGTATGTCTTTAGTCTTTTACATTCATACCCGCACCCACACCCTCAGGTAAAACTACTTATCTATTTATTGAATTTTTCGTTTACAGAATGGTAATTGTACTAACACAAGCGAAACATGAACGTGCATTCTAGGCGACATAGCAGATTTAGAAGATTTTATGATATTTTTCTCTAATTCTCTACTTGATAAAATGAATATTTCATGCGCATGATTTCTCAATCAACAAACAAGATTTTATCATCTGTAAGACAGTCCACAGAGTAAAATATTCTTTTGATTCAATTATATATGACAACAAAACATCCTCATTAAATAAATGGACTTAAAGTATATCTTCATATACTAATGACTTTTAACAGTTGGATGAGAGCATTTTGATGTAAAAAACATGCAACCATTCTTAGTTTCTTCTCTTTTAGTGCAGTTTTACTTTAACCATTTCTAATCGTTAAACTACCTGCTCTTCTTCTAGAATTCATCGTGTTCATTTCATTTGTGTAGAGAAAGATTGTGTGAGGATTCATTATGACAGCTTGCGTGTTTTTTCTCACAACATTTAGTTGAAATAATTGAAGATGATAAAAATTATTACCAAAACAACATATAGATTATTCTTTCAACATTACATAAAATTTTACTATTATCCTGCTCGTTTATCATATTTGTCGAGATATTTTCAAATAGTAATTCATTCGAGTTGAGTGTGGGTTTTTTGCTCTTCTTGTATCCACAGTCATACCCACACCCGCACCTTAATCAAGGATATCTACATTTTCTACAAAACTCGATTTACTGTTTTTTAGTGACAAGTCACTTATGCTGGTGGCAGAACAAATTGCAAACGTATACATGAAAAGTATTTTTTAGAGCCTTGACAAAATCTCTAGAAAATAATTTTTTGCTACGAAATGTTTCGTAGGATAATCATACAAAAGATCTCATCATAGACGTAGCTTACGCCCAAGCCGAACGATACAGTGCGAATAAGGTTTATTTACGACTGTAAAGGTGCCGTTTTGTCACTACGACCTGAAAAAGTATCGTAAACAGATCCATTATATATTCATTTTAGAAATTGAAACTGTGTATAATGTCATTGAATATCATTCTTTCAACAGCTCAAACAATAATCAATAAATATATCTGTCAAATATTTTTAATATGTGGTGTATTTGGGTCCTCACCTAACATTCTGCTTTTCTCACGCAGACAATTTCGGAAAAATTCGTGCTGTATATGTAAGTATACATTCAGATCAAATTTAAACCAGAGTAAAATATGTCTCAAAGTTGATCTTCGAATAATGATCGAGAAAATCCTCAGGATATTTTGTTTGTTATGCCAGAAATGGCTTATAGTGTATTTTTCTTGCTTGATCAGCAATCACACGACATATAAATAAATTCAGCATTACAGTATAAGAGTTCTACGTAGACTGAATTGGAACTATAAAATGTAAGTGAAGACAAGATAAACATGATATTAGCACAGCGTACACCTAGAATATTTATTTGGATTGCTTCCTAGAAAACAGGATAAAGTAGTCAGCTCAGTCAGTAAGAAATTTCTCTGGTACACGCAATGTTTGTACAATAGTTCTCCTTCGATTTCACAAGAAGAGCATTTCACCTGAAATAGCGAGATTATCTCGTGATCTTGAATCTGTATAATTCAAGTTCTCGTAATCTTCATTCATCATCAGGTAGCCTAGCGATTAAAATACCCTTAACATTCCCTCACTGGATCCCATAAAGGATGCCAGTCTAAATACCAAATAAGCCTTCTATCTTGTCGTGATCGGTGCTAATAGACGCAATTATGGACAAGCTATAATAATAATATTCTTCAACTAATAAGGATCTGATAAATAGTTCTTTCTTTGTCATAGATTTTCTTGGTGCGTCTATAGCAATGCTTTTCGCCATGACCTTTGGGCTAATAACACGCATTATGTCAGCGTATCAACCAGATCCGATGGATACAATATATGCATTTTGTAAAGCACGTAACTATTTTGGTCAATCTAGTACCATGATATATCGTTGGCTGTTAACTATGGCTTGCATTGATCGATATACTTCATCAACAGCTAATGCTCGTATACGCAGGTTTGCTGATCCACATATTGCTTCTTGTGTTGTATTGATTATTGCCATCATTTGGATGATATTACCTTTGCATAATTGGATTTTTCGTATGATCAATGAGAGCGGATGTACTTGGTCTCCCTCTCTTGTTGCAACGTATAATAGTGCTTTGGTAGTTATATTTGGTTTCACAGTTCCAACAACAGTTATGATTACATGTGCTGTGCTCATTAATAATAATCTTAGGCATAAACGCATTCGTCGTCAAAATATCGTTTCGCCAATAGGTGAGAATCAAGCGAATCGTTTAGTCAGAGCACGTGATCGGCAAACATTAGTCATGTTATATGTTGAAATCATTTTTTATATAATCTTCACATTACCTTGGACGATTTTTACAGTATATTATGTTTTAACGGTCTCCGTCACACACAAGACGAACGATCAAATAGCTATTGAAGGATTTCTTCAATTTCTGACGGAAACGCTCGTTTATTTGTATCCGACTTTGTCATTCTATTTATATACATTAGCATCGCATACATTTCGTCAAGAGTTAGTAAAAATTATATCTGCTATCATCATCACCAACAATCAATGCTACGATCGTATTCGGCGTATTGTCCCGAATTAAGCCACTGAAATAGTTAATCAATCAGTTCTAGTTTATAAAAGTTGATTAATCTTCAATAGGACCTCTATCCAGATTGTATGTATCTCACATTGAATAGCAGAAACTTATATCAAATAAACTAGCAGTTGTCATTCAATGAATGTTTACTATTGGAAAATGAGAAACATTTACTGTTATTTTTGTTGTTACATATATATATTGTACTGAATATTTATTTAATTAGTGATGTTAAATGTTGTATTGTTCGTTGAAATGAATTTCAAATAAAAATCTCAATTAAGTGAATGATTTAACATCAAAACTCCGATGTTCAGATATACAACAATATCATTTGTAGGTGTCGGTGTAAATAAAGAATAGACTATAGAGCTAGACCATTTTATTTTATTTATTTGATTAGATTTTTAACAAACAGAAAACAATAATATCAAAAAGCTAAGTCAATCAATTGAAGTAACTGTTTGTATTGTAGTGTTGTTTAAAATATGAAATAATATGTAACAAGAATTGACAAAGGAACAGTTAAATTATCAATATTAGACGAACTCAAAGTTTCGACTACAGCTGTAACGAATGATATGACACAAATTTTGAAAAGATGTACTGATTGTAAATTCACAAGAACAAAAATGTAAATAATTGAAGCTACTATACCAACAATGAAAAAGGTTAAAAGTCCATCTAATGATTTGTTTCCATAAATTTTTCGTTGACTACCATAACGAACACCGATTACAGCAGCTAAGCCATCACCCCATGTTAATAGACCCATAATAAGTGAGCCAGGTATGGTTTTATAGAAAATAGTTCCACATATGATTACAACAGAATTGAAAAAGAGTGGTCCATATAAAAGTTCACTTTCATGTTGATTTCGAGTCATTATATCAAGAACAGGATCATGTAGATGATGAGTCGAAGAATGATATTGACTCTTCCAGATGAGTATGCAAATCCAAAGAAGATTTGGAAATATATTTAAATATTTTGAAAATTGACCATGATTATTATAAAAATAAATAGCAAGATAAAGTGTTCCAGCGCCAATGTGAAGCATTTTGCGTAAAACTTCATTCGTAATCGATTTTGTTTTGTTTAAATGATTGAGAAGAAAAACAGCAGCAAATGTAAGACTTGTAGTAACAAGTGATAGAATAGTATTTTGTATGAGAGCCGAATTCATTATTTAGAATATTAAATAAACACTGATAGAAATTTATAGTAAAATTTCTAAGAATGTCGTCAGTAGTAGAAGTGATAGCGCTGTTGGGATCACGCTTTATTATATATCTTCTTCTTATGAATCGCATCGCTTTCATACAAAGCGTACACTTATATACTCCCTTATCATGTAAAAGAAAGGAAGGAAAGAGTAAAGTACAATATGAAGCATAAAGTGATGTCAGAATGATTAGGACCATACATATGAGACAGATTCGTAGGGACAGATGAAATATTATTCCTAAAGTGCACTCACACTGGAGTGTTACAAGTGTGGTTGTTGATGATGGTACTACGTTCATCTCCAGCTGCATCACACCCACATCCTCGTAAGTTATATTTTTGGGAATTTCGAAAAAATGTACAATAGAAAAACCCGATTATATGGTTCCTGGTACTTATGTATTTTCGTTATAAGAAAGATTTTCTTTGCGTTTCTTTCATATCAAAATAATATAGATGTCGCTGTTACTTCATGTCGATAATGAATCATTATCACAAAGAAAAAACCTACTCGACTTCTTGCAAATGCTTCTTTCTGTAACGTAGGTAGAAGAGATAAGAGAAAGAATGATTCACACCAAACTTCGATAATCTTAGACGCAAACAAAGTAATATAAAATTCGACTATTTTATCACGAAAAGCCATGCAGATAGTTGAGTGGCTTCAAATATTCAAAAATTGAGGGTGTGAATGTGGATATGACTATGAACACAATAAAAGTAAAACATCCATACACTACTGTTGATGAGAAACATTTTTCTTTGTCTGTTAGTAAAAATATCAAATGATATGCTATGTTGGAAAAATTAATCAATAATAATATTATTTTTATTTCACCGAATATACACAAACTTTTAGAAAAGTCGTTAAAAAAAAGAATTATCAGTGAAATCTGATGATATAATAAACATTTGATGTGAGTTTCTTCACGAAAAAGTAATAATTTTCACTTCCGTATCGTATAGTGAATAGAACGATTAAAATATGATAATCCTTCTCACGGAAGTGAGTCACTCTGAGTATTGAATACATCGAAATATTAAATAAATAAATTGGAAAAAGGTTAATTTATTTGATGATAATGTTTTTAATAAGATTTATTCATTAAACATCTTCAAAACAGTGAAAGAGAGAATTGCTTGTAATCAAGGATATTAACATTTGAAGAGATCGAACAGAACAATTATTCGATGAAACCTTCAAGAAAGCGACATCATCTAACACTATTCTGCAAAATCGAATTCTTATATTAGTATTTAATATATAGAACGATTAATAAGAAAAGAAATGAATCACTTCCTTTCATTTATTTTACAAAGAATGAAATATGTTTTCATGGATTTTTCCTTGTGTCGTTTTGTTTTTTAACTTTTCCAAATAGTGTCACTAAAACAATCATAAAATTATATGATTCATTTGATAT